ATTTTTTATAAAACTCATCACTACTCTGAAAATTAAGCTAACTGCCATTTTATAATACTTAAAAATATTACAAATTTTTTAATAAAATATGTTAACAAATGGCGTTACTAAAATTCGAAATGTTGCCGGGAAGGTTAAGCGACTGTTTCTGGATATTTTCACGTTTCTGTGTTACGTTATGACCAACTGCATTATCGATAAAAGGAAAAATCTATTGTTAGAAGAAAAATTTACATTACTTCCTTTTTCTAAAACTCTTTCCGCCCTGCGAGCATTAAGAGGGCCTCTTTTTTTTGGCAAGCCTATTATGGGTTTGGCCAGGCTTACAATGAGGCGGCTGGGTGGTGAGGGACAGAGTCTCAATGTATCTGGTCGGAACACCCCCAAAAATTTGCTGGGAATTTTTCGACCCGTCCAGATTCGATCCCGGATACCTCCGGAATGGAATGCTGCCACTTTCATCCCGATCGCCCCATTGTCGGCTATCCGGCCCCCGTCACTACCTTGTGGTAAGTTTGTGTAACTAGTCATGCCCGGGCTACGTCAAGAATATATTTTTTCTTCCCCCTTTTCCCCGCGGGCACTAAGACGGCCATTTTAGCAAGCGTATTGTTGGTTCGGCCACGAACACAATGGGGCAGTTGAATCCAATGTATGGATGGAATAACCCGAAATCGTAGATTTAGTTTTATAGTAAGAATAAGAAGTCACTTTGACTTCTTATTCTTACTATAAAACTAAATCTACAGAATACCCATGTGAACAATAAATTCAGCTATTTTTATATGTTTATTTATTGATTTTGTACGAAGAGAACCACAAAATAAATTTTCGAAATGACAAATTAGTATCTTTCTTCAAATGGTATTCAGATTTTTATTCTACAGAATCATGCAGACTGCAGCTATTAACACCGCCTTGAAGATCTTTCTGCAAAGTTCTCTGCGCAAAGAAGGATTTTGCAAGATCTAAACAAATAACGGAAGATGGTCATGTCGTATTTTCTTGCTTACAATTGAATTTATTTCGTTAAAAGTTATGTTAGAATTATGAAAATTTAAAGGTAGATCTTATCGAATTTAAAGATAAAAAAAGAATATTTTAAAAAATTACTGAAGGAGAAGAACTTGGAGGAAAGCAATTTTTGGATTTTGCCCAATGTTTCTGGCACATCCGACGTAACGACTTCTTCGGTTTAACTTGGTTCCGGCGGATGTTACGTTTGTTGTTCGATGTTATACGCAATTTCTTTAAGTTATTTTTATTCTAGAAAAGAAAACGTTATCGTTGAGCATAATTTTTATGTTAATTTAAATAATTACAAAAATAAATTTCATTTATTAAATTCCAGATGTGTCGAGTACCCGTCCCCCATTCCCCATCGCCTCTGTTGTAGGCCCGGATTATTAATTAAAACATTTAAAATTTAGACTATAAAGACTCGAAAAAAACTGTTACATACAGTTACCATATTGTTTTATGCGTAAATTGGGATATATTTTTAAGAGCCAGTGAAAAACGGCTATACAAGTCGACCCCCCTATAACACTGTTGATAATTCCGTTTTATATGTATTCCATGTTGTACGAGTCGCTTAGATTTTACAAATACGTGAGCCGTTCACAGCCCGGCACATGTATTTGTAAAATCTAAGTGACTCGTACAACATGGAATTCATATAAAACGGAATTACTAACAGTGTTATAGGGGGGTCGACTGTTCTTAGATTATATATTTTTTAAATATATTTATATATTAACCTATTAATATGTTTTATCGCATTAAGTGTCTTATAAAATAGTTCTATTTAAAATTTACTCTATTTTTGAGGGTTAGAAACAGGAGAAACAGACTACCTTTACCTTTCTTCGGTTTGTTCTTTTTACTGAACTTCTTTTCTGAAAAAAAAGTAATTTATTTTATGATAGAATTGTCTGAGAATCGTAAAAGCAATAAATCGTTTAGACCAGTGTTTCCCAACGTGGGGCCCATGCCCACATGGGGGCAATTGGATTGTAAAGGGAGACAATTCGAAAATGGACTCGTCCAGAGTTTAAGTTAACTATATAGCCGTTGTATATGTTAGGAGGGCATAAGAATTTTAGAAAGGCTTAGGTGGGGTATAGCACAAAAAAAGGTTGGGAAATACTGATTTAGACCCATATTTAGGAAAAGAAATTAAAATGGCTTACTTTTTGGGCCACCGTTGTTTTCTTCTTGTACTTTCTTTTCTTATTTGGTACTTTACACGGATGTTTTCCCATCAGTTTCTGCTTTTTGGACGGAGGATTGCAATTCACCACTTCTAGGGAAAGTTTTCTCTTCTTTCCTGCCTAATTTTAATATAATTCGATTATAAATTTTGCAAATTACAATTGAATTATGTAGAGGCCTATATATATTTTTGCCTTTTGTAAATTACGGTATAAACGAGCAATTATTTCTTGTGACGCGATCACAATGCAGGGCTGCAATTTTTAATATTTTTAGTTTTATTTAATTTAAAATATATATGCTCTCCACCTCAAATTAGTAGTGGCTGGCCCCTGTAAATCATACCGTTTCCTTAACAATACTGTCGTGCCGCTCATCTAACACCTTTCGGGGCGAAGGGGGGGATATTTAAATTGAAATATCGTAACTTCCAGTGCAAACCGGAAGTTTTATACAGTTAATCGGGCTCTCCCGCTTCCACATCCCGTCTCGGATTTGATCTATTTAACTCCGTTTTCTCGAAATTAAAGAAAAACCGGCGACGAACGGACGACGTTGGGACTTTATAAGTTTACAATTCTNAATCTTAAAAAAATAACAACTTATTATTTAAAATGTTTTAACAATTATGCATTATAAAGTATGAATTATGTTTAGGTGATAATATATATTAAATTGTTAACTAATCTGCATTTTTACTTAGCATATTCTATTGTAATATATAGGCTATATAAAACATTAAATACAAGTTTCTGTAAGGTTAAAAATACTGTATTGTCTAATAAAGAATGTTAAAAAAAAAAAACTTAATTTGCAATGTCAATACACACAAGAGCTAGTGAAATTATAAATAAGTGCCTTTTATCAAGTTTTAGACGAAATGTCTATAACTATTATATAATGTCTGCCCGCTCTCACAACAACAACAACAACACGAAGTTTAATCTAGTCGATCAACATTACCGATTTTCGTAGATTGACGTCATTCAGCTGACCAATCAGTGTGTTGTGCCATCTGGATATTTAGTCACACGTGCCGCAGCGATGCGAGAGTACGCTCGCTGTTCATACAATTCAACAGCTAGAGCAGTCACGCTAGCAAGAGAGAGCGGGGGAAGAAGGATGACTACACGAACGTGTCACATGTCGAAAAAGAAATAATAGAATTTTATCGATGTACTGTACGTATTATAAATTACACGATTAATACATCCAGTATTGAAAAGAAAATAGTATAAACGTTGTATGTAAATAGTAATATATAAATAGTTTCCGGCTAGTTAAGCTTAACTAGTCTAATATGTTTTTCCCCATGTTGTTTCGAACGTTTTCCGTATCCGGTCTCGATTTTCATCTAATTCCGTTCTCGAGATTAACGAAAGACGGACAGACCAGGGTGGGAATGTATAAATCTGCAGCTTGAAATTGCAGCCCAAATATATACAATATATTGTGTTTTATTAACATCGTAACATTGTTCTTCCCATATCAATCCGAAAAAGAAAGAAAGGAAGTGACATTGTTCCGCTTGAAGTGATTGAAAGAAATAAATTCCCAATGTCTCGTGCGCACGACCTACATACTATATGTTTGCATACATTTTTATACGTTAAAAATCATAAGCCGTTATGGGTTCGGCCAGATCCACAATGGGGCGGGTGGCGAGGGACGGGGTCCGAAGAACTGGGGATTTATCGGCCCGTCCGGATTCGAACCCGGGTCCCCCAGAGCGATACACAGTTATCTCGACTTCTCGGCCATCCGGCCGTCCGTATCCACTTTTAAGATCGAACTGCTCCTGGAAAAACTTAAACGATTCGTCATAATTTTCGTAAGTTCAGAAGCATAAATTGATATAAAATTCCCGAAAATACAATTTTAACTATATAATACGACCGTCAAATAACAGAACCATCCCCCCCCGCTCTAGGGAAAACAAGAGTTCAAATCCGGATCAGATTAGAAAAAATTTTCCAGCGTGATTTTGATCAAAATATTGTGAGCCCCGTCCGTCACCACGCCACACTATTGTTGGTCTGGCCGAAATTATAATAGGCTCGCTAAAAAATGATCTCTTAGGGGAGTTTTATGGGGGAAAAAAAAGGAAAATGGGATGATCAACCATTTTACTCGAACATATGTTTATGTAATTTGATCCTTCAAAAATTCCTCTCAAAAATCATACTGTAATACTATAATATGATTCGAGTCTTTGAATAATTGTAAATTACGAATAAATTGTAAGGGCAAAGTACGATTCGCCATAATATAATACGAAACAGAGTTATTTCTATTATTTATCACATAAAATCCTTATTATTTAATATTTTGAATAAATGCTAGCTGTATTTCGTTTAAATTTACACAAATATATTTGAATAAAACATTTTCGGACGCATAATTCTAAAGAAAACAACACGGTTTTTACGTTTGCATTTCTACCAAAAACGTATTATTACATAAAGAAAGAAACAAGCCATTGTTTTGACATGAAAGACATTTGGAAAATTGCCTAAGATTATTATTATTATTATTTTAGTATTTTAAATACGTTTCATTTCTAGCAATCACGCCAGGTTTCACGATTGATTGATCATCCCACATTTTAATTTTATTCTTCGATTACTGTCAATTACTTTCTGCTGCTTAATTTTACCATAAAATCAAAAATATTCAGTAATTAATTAGAATTAGAGTTAAATAATTTTGCGTTTTATAACAAAATAAGTCCAGATTTTTGCAATCCTTCTAGCAATGAACGCTTCTAAAGCAGAACCCCCGGGGTTAATACTCCTCCACTAGAAATAAAACTAATATTTATATACGCGTTAGTTAATTTATAATTCTATAATATAATGCAACCTGGTTTCAGCGGACACTCGGAAACAAAATGCCCTTATAAGACAAATATTCGCTATAACATTGTAAAATATTCAAGGTTATAGCGGCGCTTTCAAAGAATCGATATCACTTTTACAAAACAAAACTGCGCAAAAAATTATAGAAATATTTTCATGCGATAATTAACATAATTTGCTAATAGAAGAGTTAAATGCTATTTAATGATTGGAAACTAATGATTAATTAGTTTATTTAGAAAAACTCAATAGAAATGAGTTGAAGCGGGATTTCATAAATCCTTTAATTCAAGCAGGAAATTATGTACCGATGATGCCATTTAGATATAGATCTAAGCCAGATGTTTTCCGAATTTCTTAATATATATTTCGTAGTGTTCATTTTGCTTTTGTACTCTTTGCCAGACAGAACAATGCCGATGCCAATAGATGCCAGTAGTGGACCTTCTAAAAAGAATTCTACTATTTTACAATTATTGTAATTATGTTAATTATTATCTTAGAACACTGAAAAACTGTCCAAATTTCATAATTGCTTATTTATTTATTTTTAAACTCTCTAATCTGTGGGCACTAAGGGAGCCTCTTTTAGCCGGCCATTACGGTGAGGTACCTGATCTGGACGGCCCACCCCGAAAAATTCCTGGGAATTTTTTGTCCCGTCCGGATTCGACCACGGGTTCGATCCGGATTCAATACCAGAGTTAAAAAGTTAAAAGAAGCAGAACTTCTCGTGCCCATCTTGGCAATGTTAAGAAAAGGAAAGGACCCTCAAATAAAAGAGAAAAATCGATGAAGACTAGGCAGTTCTCCATCTCCAGAGTTCGTCCGTCATCGGGAGTCGGTCCGTCATTGAGAGTTCGCCGATTATCACGAGTTCATTACCACCTCAGCGCGGACCAGGGATTCCGCCGTGCTTCGACATTGTCCAGTTCTGCGCCACCAATAACCCATACGGAATACCAATTTCCAGAGCTAGTATCTAACCTACCGAGTATCTACTTAACCTCCACAGGCTGATGCTAACATTACCAACCGACGGTTCTTCATCGAACTATCCGATACCCTGCCCATTTGGGTCAAGTGTTCGAGGAGCGAACACTTGACCCAAATTGTTCGAGGAGCGAACTTGACTCGAACAGCGCATCAAGGTATTTACCTTGATGCTTGATGTTAACATAATTATAATAATTGTAAAATAGTACAATTCTTTGTTTATCAGCCCGCGATCGAATGTAAACTCTCTCTCGCAGCTGGGGACCCGCTACGATAATCTTAAAATCTCTATACCGAAATCCTGAATAACGTTCTATAGCTGTAAATACATATATCATCTTACATAAATAAACGGATATTTGTTTACGTTAACTCTGTAGTTGAGTGCACTTCTTCCGGACGCGCTGTCTCTCGGACCTCCTCCATCCCGAATCCGACCGCCTACAGATGCGACCGCTCGCGCTTGAAACAAAATATAACCGCCATGGCGATTTCTGTCTCCCATAAAGAACAGTGATGTCAGTCCCGACGTGCCATCTTGACGTAGCATCGACCATGCGGTTACACACCGAGACGACCTTTTATTGCCGACCTCCAATAAAAGGTCGTCTCCGTATGTGAAAATTGTTTTAGACTGTCACTGGTGTGTTGAAATGACGGAAATGGTAAACGAAAACAAGGAGTTTTGCGTATTTGTGATATTCTTATGTTTAAAATGGAAATAACGTCGGCCATGTTTTAATTGTTATAAATGAAACGTTTGGATTAAGTACCATTTCTCTGCCATTTCTCACCGCTGGTCGATCTAATCACAGGCTTTATTTTGAAGTTGAATTAATGTGAAGTCTTATGGCATTGCACGCTTCATATATAGCATCCGAGTAACCATAAATAATAATAATCTTTAAAAACTATTCATAATTTTGTATTTTATTCCTTCAGGTGTAGCGAATATACACATTTTCTATCATCGTCACCAGAAGTGACCGTTTACGGAATAAATTTTATCAAAGTGTTGTATTTCCTAAAGCTATTGATTTAATTGAATGAACTGGCGTAAAAAATACATCTCGGAGGCAACCAAGCGTTGCCATATCTTAATAGAAAAAACTTTTTTATTGGAGACTTTTGGAAAGTTCCCAAGAAACTTATGGCGTTATTAACGTTTGATTTATAACCTCCGCTTAATCAAAAGTTCATAAGAACAATTATAGAAAATTAACCTTTATTACATTAGTCTTTTTTTAAAACTAATTCATTAAAAAATCCAAACATTATCCTTGCTTGATGCAATATTCTATGTGATTACGTCGAGAGCGACTCAAAACGGCAGGAATAATAGAATATTATATTCTTTCATTATGTGCCATATATGTGTATATTTGGATTATAATTGTCTTCGAAAATATGAGTTAATTTCATTTTTATGTGCTAGGTGATGCGGATGGAAAAAATTATAAAAGTTTGTAACAAGATGGCAGGAGGAACACAGTTCGAGAATTCTTCAAAATAGTGAGGTTAAAAAAATTTTGACGGGACAAATATCGGGTTTATTATTAAAAGACAATGGATATCCTCGTTTGCATTATTTACTTACATCTCGTGTAAATCCACACATTAGGGCTTCATTTTAATTTGAAATTACTAACCAAGATAATATTTACTNAAATTTATTTACGAAAAAAAAATTTTTTATATTAAATTTATATACTAATTAATTTTTGTAATCCAAAATGCATCATTTCTATACTACTTAAATCACATCTTTCAGCCCCGAAGTACAGTATATAGACTGATGTATAAGGATAGACATATGTAGGTGTGAGAATCCATCACGGCCATTATCAAACGCGGATATTGAAATATATATATAAAGGACAAATTGTATGGAAATATGCATTCCGGGCTTAACGCCCCTCTTCAGTCCTATTATAACAGATTTATCAGCCAAATTTACTACAGATTTACAGTTTTATCGCATGCTTTGAAATATTTAGATTTATAAAATAAAAGGTTTATACAAATACGAGTACAAAGGTGTAATAAAAGATATTTAGTTTATACAATAAAACATAAATACCTGAGATTGTAGTGATAGTTAAAACCACACCACTGATGAGAAGAGAAAGGTGAAAAAGGGGGAGGAAAAGGAGCTAAAAATCTTTTAGTTCCATCCTTATACGCATTAGAGAAGTATAGCAACATGTGCTAGAATAAAAAAGGGGTAAACTTAAATCTACAATTAAGTACAATTAAGAGGCGGAAAAAAGGTCGAGGGGTGAGGAGATAATGGAAGTCATCTGTATTTTCAGTAGGGACTTAAAAGTCATTAAGTCCTACATTAGCATTAGCTTTTACGATTTTTTATAAAACTCATCACTACTCTGAAAATTAAGCTTACTGCCATTTTATAATACTTAAAAATATTACAATTTTTTAATAAAATATGTTAACAGATGGCGTCACCATAATTCGAAATGTTGCCGGGAAGGTTAAGCGACTCTTTCTGGATATTTTCACGTTTCTATGTGTTACGTTATGACCAACTGCATTATCGATAAATGGAAAAATCTATTGTTAGAAGAAAAATTTACATTACTTCCTTTCTTTAAAACTCTTTCCACCCTGCGAGCATTAAGAGGACCTCTTTTTGGCAAGCCTATTATGGGTTTGGCCAGGCTTACAATGAGGCGGCTGGGTGGTGAGGGACAGAGTCTCAATGTATCTGGTCGGAACACCCCCAAAAATTTGCTGGGAATTTTTCGACCCGTCCAGATTCGATCCCACGTACCCACTTTGATTCCGATCGCCCCATTGTCGGCTATCCGCCCCCGTCACTACCTTGTGGTAAGTCTGTTCAATTATTCATTCCCGGGCTACGTCAAGAATATATTTTTTCTTCCCCCTTTTCCCCGCGGGTATTAAGACGGCCATTTTAGCAAGCGTATTGTTGGTTCGGCCACGAACACAATGGAGCAGTTGAATCCAATGTGTGGATGGAATAACCCGAAATCGTAGATTTAGTTTTATAGTAAGAATAAGAAGTCACTTTGACTTCTTATTCTTACTATAAAACTAAATCTACAGAATACCCATGTGAACAATAAATTCAGCTATTTTTATATGTTTATTTATTGATTTTGTACGAAGAGAACCACAAAATAAATTTTCGAAATGATAAATTAGTATCTTTCTTCAAATGGTATTCAGATTTTTATTCTACAGAATCATGCAGACTGCAGCTATTAACACCGCCTTGAAGATCTTTCTGCAAAGTTCTCTGCGCAAAGAAGGATTTTGCAAGATCTAAACAAATAACGGAAGATGGTCATGTCGTATTTTCTTGCTTACAATTGAATTTATTTCGTTAAAAGTTATGTTAGAATTATGAAAATTTAAAGGTAGATCTTATCGAATTTAAAGATAAAAAAAGAATATTTTAAAAAATTACTGAAGGAGAAGAACTTGGAGGAATGCAATTTTTGGATTTTGCCCAATGTTTCTGGCACATCCGACGTAACGACTTCTTCGGTTTAACTTGGTTCCGGCGGATGTTACGTTTGTTGTTCGATGTTATACGCAATTTCTTTAAGTTATTTTTATTCTAGAAAAGAAAACGTTATCGTTGAGCATAATTTTTATGTTAATTTAAATAATTAAAAAATAAATTTCATTTATTAAATTCCAGATGTGTCGAGTAACCGTCCCCCATTCCCCATTGCCTCCGTTGTAGGCCCGGATTATTAAAACATTTAAAAATTTAGACTATAAAGACTCGAAAAAAACTGTTACATACAGTTACCATATTGTTTTATGCGTAAACTGGAATATATTTTTAAGAGCCAGTGAAAAACGGCTATACAAGTCGACCCCCCTATAACACTGTTGATAATTCCGTTTTATATGTATTCCATGTTGTACGAGTCGCTTAGATTTTACAAATACGTGAGCCGTTCACAGCCCGGCACATGTATTTGTAAAATCTAAGTGACTCGTACAACATGGAATTCATATAAAACGGAATTACTAACAGTGTTATAGGGGGGTCGACTGTTCTTAGATTATATATTTTTTAAATATATTTATATATTAACCTATTAATATGTTTTATCGCATTAAGTGTCTTATAAAATAGTTCTATTTAAAATTTACTCTATTTTTGAGGGTTAGAAACAGGAGAAACAGACTACCTTTACCTTTCTTCGGTTTGTTCTTTTTACTGAACTTCTTTTCTGAAAAAAAAGTAATTTATTTTATGATAGAATTGTCTGAGAATCGTAAAAGCAATAAATCGTTTAGACCAGTGTTTCCCAACGTGGGGCCCATGCCCACATGGGGGCAATTGGATTGTAAAGGGAGACAATTCGAAAATGGACTCGTCCAGAGTTTAAGTTAACTATATAGCCGTTGTATATGTTAGGAGGGCATAAGAATTTTAGAAAGGCTTAGGTGGGGTATAGCACAAAAAAAGGTTGGGAAATACTGATTTAGACCCATATTTAGGAAAAGAAATTAAAATGGCTTACTTTTTGGGCCACCGTTGTTTTCTTCTTGTACTTTCTTTTCTTATTTGGTACTTTACACGGATGTTTTCCCATCAGTTTCTGCTTTTTGGACGGAGGATTGCAATTCACCACTTCTAGGGAAAGTTTTCTCTTCTTTCCTGCCTAATTTTAATATAATTCGATTATAAATTTTGCAAATTACAATTGAATTATGTAGAGGCCTATATATATTTTTGCCTTTTGTAAATTACGGTATAAACGAGCAATTATTTCTTGTGACGCGATCACAATGCAGGGCTGCAATTTTTAATATTTTTAGTTTTATTTAATTTAAAATATATATGCTCTCCACCTCAAATTAGTAGTGGCTGGCCCCTGTAAATCATACCGTTTCCTTAACAATACTGTCGTGCCGCTCATCTAACACCTTTCGGGGCGAAGGGGGGGATATTTAAATTGAAATATCGTAACTTCCAGTGCAAACCGGAAGTTTTATACAGTTAATCGGGCTCTCCCGCTTCCACATCCCGTCTCGGATTTGATCTATTTAACTCCGTTTTCTCGAAATTAAAGAAAAACCGACGACGAAAGGACGACGTTGGGACTTTATAAGTTTACAATTTTTTCAAATTTCAGCCCAATAAAAGACAAGAGGGATCGAGTATAAAATAACAAATATATTATTCATTTACTTTATTTTCATTTTGTCCGCCGCATTTCCGGCAATAGCAGATGGACTGAAAAAATAAAAATGAATTTCATTAAAATACTGTACAGTCGAACCCCCCTATAACACTTGATAATTCCGTGTTGTATGAGTCACTTAGATTTTACAAATACGTGTGCCGGGCTGCGAACGGCTCACGTATTTGTAAAATCTAAGTGACTCGTACAATATGGAATTCATATAAAAACAGAGTTATCAACAGAGTTATAGGGGGGGGTCGACTGTATACTTAATTACGATTTACAAGGATGTACCGAAGTTTGTGTTGCAGTTGTTTTGTTTGCTCTGTCGGATTTTGTTTTTCTGTCAGTAACGTATGGACAAGCATCTTCCTTCTTAAACGAAAGAATAAGTGAGTTTAATTAAACATTTTTTCATTTCTTAAGGTTAATTGATGTAAATAGTCCTTACCTTCTTTCCAGCGGAATTACTAGGAAATTTCATGTTAATAATTACTGACACAGGGGAAAAAAAGCCAATGGGATTTCGTATGTCATTGTTTAATTAACAATTAAAGACGGAAATTGTTTTACAATAATCAATTAATGGGCTGCAATGAGAAACAATCGTAGGCCTATTTTGACTTTAAAAAAACGTCATTGCTATATTATTTTCCTGGCTTTATATATCTATATAACAGAGAGAAAGTATGGAAAATTTTTACGTTTTTAGATCTTGAAATATCGAGAAATGTAAAAACAAGTTCGGCATTTCTCTGTATGTATGGATGATTAGAGTGTGTGAGAGGACACGATTATGTCCATCCTCTTTCAAGTTAAATAATTCCTCTGCTTTTTGTCGAAAATTTCTGAAATTTTGAAAGGAGATTTGTTTATTAGGAGGATTGTCGCTGTTAAATTTTGGCGGTTAAAAATCGACGGGGTGGGGAGATAATGGGGATCGTGTGTGTATCTCCAGTATGGCCGGACTTTTATGACATTTTTACTCGTTATTAGCATTTACAATTTTTTACAAAACTCATCCCTACCCTCAAAATTAAGCTTTTTGCCATTTTGTAATAGTTAAAAATACTAAAAAGATTTTAAAATTTAATATAACAGATGGAGCCACCAAAATTTTAAATGTTACAAGGGAAATTGAGCAGCAACATGTCGCCGGTTTATTTTAATTCTCTTTTTGTGGAAGCTCCCGGGTACGTACTGAAAATTCTTTCCATAAATCCCGCTCCAAGCAAAATAGTAAATAAATTTAATAGCTCAAAGAGAAAAAATTTCGCCAGTAAAATTCTTGCTGCCGAAAGTTAACAAGGACCCAGTGCTGGGTCCTAGTTAACTTTCAGCAGCAAGAATCTTAGTGAGGAGTTTCGGTACTATTATTGGGCTTCACTATGAAAAAAATTGTAGAGCTATAAATTTTCACTGTCGTTCGGCTGTCTGTCCGTCTGTCTTTCCTTAATCTCGAGAACAGAGTTAGATAGACGATAGTCGAGACCCGATATGGAAACCTTAGGGGCAGGAGACACGAATATATATGGACTTCTGATGCAAACCGGAAATCACGCTATTTCCGGTTTGCATCGATGGAGTATTACCACGTATACATGTTACGATGGAGTATTACCACGAGGTGAGTTTCCCGTGCCATAATGAACACGTTCAGTAGTTACATAAAAATAACAAATATAAAAACTGGCTTTAACTTCAGTACAAAATCAAGTTTTCCTTTTGGACTTCTTTCTCCTCTGGGCACTATAAGAGGGCGTTTATTGCAAGCCCATTATGGGTTCGGCCAAGAACCAACAATGGCATACGGTTGGTTGGAACAACCTCGAAATATTTCTGGTTTTTCCATCCAGTCTGGGTTCGATTCCGGCCTCCTGGAGTCCAACGCTGCCTTCTTAATCGCTGTTCAATCAGGCAGTTGTTTTGCTAGAAACGAAACTTTATTATCGCAGTTATTTTCTTTTAAGTTGTACCGTATTGTTGTAAATTGTATATAAAACAGGCCAGGAGGTCAAAGCATGAAGGGAAAGCGTGGCTTTTGCTGCCGAGAACGTAACGTACGAACTGACAAGTTGTCAGGTAGTAAAGTATAAACAACAACGTTAGTTTTCAAAATACGTATGATGAAATCGAAAATGATTTTCGTTAAAGTCCGGTTTCTCACATAATTAAGCTTGGTTTTACTTTCCCGGCTCTGTTATATATAACATAAGAAATCTATGGCGATCGGTAAAAAAATGATCCTTCCAATATTTCTACATTTTTGCGCTCGGGACCTTGAAACGTCGACAAATACAAAACCACTGCCATTCTTTCTGCGTGTATGGATGTTAGTTTGTGTAAAGGGCACGATTTTGTTCGCCTTTTGTCGAAAATGAAACTCGTTAAGTGATTCGAATCACTTGTGGAGTTTCATTCCTTCCAACTCTTGGCGGAACTCCGAAGCAGCCACCTCCACGTGGTGAGTTCTGTGTTGTCGTTCGTCTGGAAATGACGAAGGCAAGCGAAGAGCTTCTTCTTCCTTTCAATTGAATAATAAGGAATGAAAACACGCCAATAAAAGCAGAAATTACAAAAGTAATTCAAGCGAGGAGAATTAAGTGTCTAATTTTGGTATAAATCGCTTTAAATCCTTTGTTTTTTTATCGTGATGGTGAATTTCAATTGACCCTAGTTAGGTTTATGGCAAGATATTCGTGTCATGGTTGGCTACAAAACTATAACTACGTGTTCGATACAATGAGATGATGTTAATGGCAAAATTCTTGCTAATAAAACAAGGAGAAAAAAATTAACGTGATGAAAAGACAGAAAACTCACGTGCCCGGCCCGTTGGCGGTGCTCGAACCGTTGGCGTTGTTTAGTGACTTTAATAATGATGCAACGAATATTCGACCGAATAGGCCGAATACCTAATAGCAGGAGTAAGAAATAACAAAAACACAGTAAATTAATCATTTTGGTAACTTTTATTAATACTGAACATACATTTCAAATTCGAGAAACCGCAATTTTTTGTTATTTTATGTAAAAGATCAAAGGTGGCCAAGTGACTTTTATTACAAGCTATTCGAAGTCTACAAGAACAATTATTTGCGTATAGATACAATTTCATGGTAAACTCAATTGGATTAACAATTGAGTTCACCATGAAAATTGTTCTTCCAATTCTAATTGGAAGAACAATTATTTGGTATTGACGGCCGCGAATTTCGCGCCAATAAGCTGCCTCCACTCGTTCGATTATGTTATCGACTCAATTTCATATTTATTTTCACATTTTCGCTTCGCCATCTTTCTCTGTTCTTTTTCCGTTATTTACACTGTAGGTCAGTTCATTGTTATTCACATTTGATATCATAACCAATCACAAACTGCCATGACGCTCGTGTCTGTCCGCTACAACTGTCAAGAATTAACGCGATTGGCGAAGCGTANACTAGAAATAAAACTAATATTTATATACGCGTTAGTTAATTTATAATTCTATAATATAATGCAACCTGGTTTCAGCGGACACTCGGAAACAAAATGCTCTTATAAGACAAATATTCGCTATAACATTGTAAAATATTCAAGGTTATAGCGGCGCTTTCAAAGAATCGATATCACTTTTACAAAACAAAACTGCGCAAAAAATTATAGAAATATTTTCATGCGATAATTAACATAATTTGCTAATAGAAGAGTTAAATGCTATTTAATGATTGGAAACTAATGATTAATTAGTTTATTTAGAAAAACTCAATAGAAATGAGTTGAAGCGGGATTTCATAAATCCTTTAATTCAAGCAGGAAATTATGTACCGATGATGCCATTTAGATATAGATCTAAGCCAGATGTTTTCCGAATTTCTTAATATATATTTCGTAGTGTTCATTTTGCTTTTGTACTCTTTGCCAGACAGAACAATGCCGATGCCAATAGATGCCAGTAGTGGACCTTCTAAAAAGAATTCTACTATTTTACAATTATTGTAATTATGTTAATTATTATCTTAGAACACTGAAAAACTGTCCAAATTTCATAATTGCCTATTTATTTATTTTATAACTCTAATCTGTGGGCACTAAGGGAGCCTCTTTTAGCAGGCCATTACGGTGAGGGACGGGATCTGGACGGCCCACCCCGAAAAATTCCTGGGAATTTTTTGTCCCGTCCGGATTCGACCACGGGTTCGATCCGGATTCAATACCAGAGTTAAAAAGTTAAAAGAAGCAGAACTTCTCGTGCCCATCTTGGCAATGTTAAGAAAAGGAAAGGACCCTCAAATAAAAGAGAAAAATCGATGAAGACTAGGCAGTTCTCCATCTCCAGAGTTCGTCCGTCATCGGGAGTCGGTCCGTCATTGAGAGTTCGCCGATTATCACGAGTTCATTACCACCTCAGCGCGGACCAGGGATTCCGCCGTGCTTCGACATTGTCCAGTTCTGCGCCACCAATAACCCATACGGAATACCAATTTCCAGAGCTAGTATCTAACCTACCGAGTATCTACTTAACCTCCACAGGCTGATGCTAACATTACCAACCGACGGTTCTTCATCGAACTATCCGATACCCTGCCCATTTGGGTCAAGTGTTCGAGGAGCGAACACTTGACCCAAATTGTTCGAGGAGCGAACTTGACTCGAACAGCGCATCAAGGTATTTACCTTGATGCTTGATGTTAACATAATTATAATAATTGTAAAATAGTACAATTCTTTGTTTATCAGCCCGCGATCGAATGTAAACTCTCTCTCGCAGCTGGGGACCCGCTACGATAATCTTAAAATCTCTATACCGAAATCCTGAATAACGTTCTATAGCTGTAAATACATATATCATCTTACATAAATAAACGGATATTTGTTTACGTTAACTCTGTAGTTGAGTGCACTTCTTCCGGACGCGCTGTCTCTCGGACCTCCTCCATCCCGAATCCGACCGCCTACAGATGCGACCGCTCGCGCTTGAAACAAAATATAACCGCCATGGCGATTTCTGTCTCCCATAAAGAACAGTGATGTCAGTCCCGACGTGCCATCTTGACGTAGCATCGACCATGCGGTTACACACCGAGACGACCTTTTATTGCCGACCTCCAATAAAAGGTCGTCTCCGTATGTGAAAATTGTTTTAGACTGTCACTGGTGTGTTGAAATGACGGAAATGGTAAACGAAAACAAGGACTCTTGCGTATTTGTGCTATTCTTATGTTTATTAAAATGCAAATAATGTCGGCCATGTTACAATTGTTGTAAATGAAACGTTTGGATTAAGTACCATTTCTCTACCATTTCTCACCGCTGGTCGATCTAATCACAGGCTTTATTTTGAAGTTGAATTAATGTGAAGTCTTATGACATTGCACGCTTCATATATAGCATCCGAGTGACCATAAATTATAATAATCTTTAAAAACTATTCATAATTTTGTATTTGTTTTCCTTTAGATGTAGGGAATGTACACATTTTCCATCATCGTCACCGGAAGTGACCGTTTACGGAATAAATTTTATCAAAGTGTTGTATTTCCTAAAGCTATTGATTTAATTGAATGAACTGGCGTAAAAAATACATCTCGGAGGCAACCAAGCGTTGCCATATCTTAATAGAAAAAACTTTTTTATTGGAGACTTTTGGAAAGTTCCCAAGAAACCTATGACGTTATTAACGTTTGATTTATAACCTGTGCTTAATCAAAAGTTCATGAGAACAATTATAGAAAATGAACCGTTATTACATTAGTCTTTTTTTAAAAAACTAATTCATTAAAAAATCCAAACATTATCCTTGCTTGATGCAATATTCTATGTGATTACGTCGAGAGCGACTGAAAACGGCAGGAATAATAGAATAATATATTCGTTCATTACGTACCATATATTTGGATATATTTGGATTATAATTGTCTTCGAAAATATGAGTTAATTTCATTTTTATGTGCTAGGTGATGCGGATGGAAAAAATTATAAAAATTTTTAACAAGATGGCAGGAGGAACACAGTTCGAGAATTCTTCAAAATAGTGAGGTTAAAAAAATTTTGACGGGACAAATATCGGGTTTATTATTAAAAGACAATGGATATCCTCGTTTGCATTATTTACTTACATCTCGTGTAAATCCACACATTAGGGCTTCATTTTAATTTGAAATTACTAACCGAGATATTATTTACTTAAACAAACAATATAATTAGCGCGTTTACAGATGAACAATGGAAAAAAACTAATTAACAATAACTTGTTTTTATTTTGCAAAACTGTTTTCAGTCGCCGTATTTTTCTATTCTTGAATTAATTATAATGTCAAAATAATTCATTTCAGCATCTGGGAGAAGTCTCCACCAACGTCTGGGTCGGCCGAATTTTCAGAAATAACTGCATTCCCTTTTTGAGTGTTTTTCCCGATTAAATCCCGGATAATGAAAAGTTTTTTAAGGAGTCTTTTGCACCTCCCTGTACGTATTTCCGGATCCGCCATTCCTAGGGTTGCCAGACAGGTGAAGAAAAACCCGAATAATTCCAGTGTTCAACGGTTTTATTTACTCGGCTACTGGTGGAAACGACACGGGAAATGTCGGAGGTGGAGCCGTCTTCACCATATACAACACCACGATGCATTTACGTACACGCGT